ATACACACAGAAACACACACATACACACAGAAACACACACATACACAGTTTTTGCGGTTGGTTTTGTCTGATTGATCTGGTTGTGTTTCTGCAGGACGACGGAGGAGAAGAATGACTGGATTCAGGTGAACATACATTTTTTTGTTGTTTTTAGGACAATCTTGTAAAAAAAGGTACAGGGGAGGAACGTAGACTGACCGGTAAACAGAGAGCTTTACCTTACAGCTCAGCTCCCCCTTCACCACAACGGACTGGTACAGAGTCCTCAATACTGCAGACACTGCACCAGTCTGTCTATCAATCTCACTCTCCATTCTTCCATCACTCAACCAAAACCATGAGATATTTGAACTCCTCCACTTGAGGCAGAACCTCACCCTCGACCTGAAAAGAACAATCCACCCTTTTCTGTCTGAGGACCATGACCTTAGATTTGGAGGTGCTTGTTCTCATCCCAGCCGCTTCACACTTGGCTGTGATCTGCTCCAGTGAGAGCTGAAGATCACAGCACGATGACGCCAACAGGACCACATCACCTGCAAAGATCAGAGATGGAATCCTTAGGCCACTGGACCAGACTCCCTCCATCCCCTGGCTGCACCGAGAAATTCTGTCCATAAAAGTTATGAACAGAATCAGTGACAGCAGGCAGCCCTGGAGGAGTCCAACTCCCACCCTGAAGGAGTCCGATTTCCTTAGATAGATAATTTTTATTAATTGGCTTTTTTTTTTTGTATGTGAATGTTTTTGTAAACTGAGACAAGTTCTGTTGTGACTTTGAGCTACAGAAATAAACTGAATTGGGAATGAATTCAACTGAATTGAATTGACTTACTGCCAGCAATGCGAACCAAACTCTTGCACCGCTTGTATAGGGACCGAACAGCTCGTAACAACAGGCCCCCAATTCCATACTTGTGGAGCCCCCCCACCCCACAGCGTACCCTGAGGAACATGGTCGAATGCCTTCTCCAAGTCCACAAAACACATGTAGGGTAATGATGGGCAAACTTCCATGACCCCTTGAGGACCCTAGTGAGAGTAAAGAGCTGGTCCTGTGTTCCAAGGCCAGGACAGAATCTGCATTGTTCCTCCTGGGTCTGAGGTTCGACCAACGATTGGACTCTTTTCTCCATTACCCCTGAATAGACCTTACCAGGGAGGCTAAGGAGAGTGAAGTCCCTGTAATTGGAGCATACCCTCTGGTCCCCCTTTTTTAAGATGGGAACCCCCACCCCAGTCTGCCAATCCAGTGGCACTGCCCCAGATGCCCATGCGATGTTGCAAACACATGTCTACCAAGACAGACCTACAACATCCAGAGCCTTAAGGAAATCAGAACAGATCTCATCCACTCCCTGAGCCCTGCCGCTATGGAGCTTTTTACTTAACTCAGCGATCTCAGCCATGGTTATGGACAGAACAGCCCTGTAGTCCCCTGACTCAGCTTCCTCCATGGAAAATGTGTTGGTGGGATTGAGAAGATCCAAAAAGTGTTCCTTCTGCCTCCTGACTGCATCACTGGTTGAGGTCCCCACCTCCACAATACACAGTGTTGGTAGAGCGCTGCTTTCTCAGCCTCAGCTGCCTGATTTTTCATTTCACCTTTTTTAACCCGGCATAAACACTAAGAACAGCTTCTTCTTTACAGAGCTGGCCTGGCAGCACCAACAGGCACTTGTAGGGTCAAGGGAAGGGAAACAATACAGTTAGACAAAACAATTAAATGTAGACGTCTATAACAAACAAGGAAACACAAATTACATTAACAACAGTTCTTTGTAAAAGTCAAACGACAGCATTACTAAGCATGAAAACATTTGCAAGTATCTTTAAAAACGAATTTTAAACGATTTTTAAAACTAGAAAATGAGGCAAGTGTAGAAGAAGAAGACGTCAAGAAATAAGGATAGATTGGACCAATTCCTTGAGCAAAACACGACCTTGTTCATGCTGTAATCCCCTCATGAATCAGAATCAGAGTGTCTTTATTGTCATTGCACAGAAGCACAACTAATTTTCATTTCATTACAGCTTGTCCAAAGAAGCAAAAGACAAACATCGATAGACGGGGTGCCTGAAGCTGCAGCCTATATAAATAAATTGACTTGACTTGACTTTACTCATGGGAGGTGCTGCCCTTTTCATTAGATAAGGAAAAGGGAAAACACGAGGAAAGAGGAGGTGGAAAAAATCATATCTCACACTGTGTACTTGCTGGTACACAGTGTGAAGTAAAAAAAAAACTTAGCACAAGAAAAAGCAACATACAGATGACATAATAAGACATATGCATGTGGAGTGGGTGAGGGTGGGGCTCCCAGCACAGGCCGCCCAAGTGAGCAACGCAGCCACCTGGCGCCTTCGCATCTAACCTACGTTACCGCACTGGGGGTGGAGTGTAAAATGAGGGAGGACAGTGAAGGTGGTGATTTTGAGGGAAAGTAAGTCCATGAACACTGTCCAGATAGTGCCCCCCAGCTTTAGTCCTGATAAATGATAGTATGTTTATCAGCTGGCTCGGTAGAGCTCTGACACAGGTCCACAGATGTCCTTGGGGAAAGGAACGGGGAGAGGGAGCAGAGCATCTTGTTCACATAACATCCAGAAGAATTTGAGATAGTCAACTTTCAAAGGCCGACATGGGGGGAGCCAGATTCAGATAGCAACAGTTGTTTAGGGTCAGGCCGACTCCGTTAATTTCCGTCTGCCTTTACAGTCTCGCTAGTACTTTTCAATGGTGACGCTAAACAGGCAAATTTGTGGTCACTTTCGCTGAGCCAAGCTTGCAACTTCTCCAAGATCGATTTCTTCCCTCCAGCAAGATTCAGGAGCCGCAAGTAGGATTATTAAAAACATTTACTCATCTTCAATTTGCATGAGACATGCTGTAATCCAATTCAAGGTAGTGCACAGGCTGCACTGTTTTATTTTGTATAGGCTTCGCCCTTTAAGGCTGTCGCTAGTGGGTTTATCCCTGCGCGCAGCGCGCCAACACTGAAAACTTTAGTGCATACCCACCTGCTGTGTGGGCTCACCCTGGTCAGTATAAATTTTCCTGAGACCGGGATTCGGCTCCCCATTTTCTTCAGCCAGCAAGCAAAATAGAAAACTAAAGAGCAGAAGATGAGAACCAGTGGAGTGATTCGCCTGTGCTCAGCATGCATGACAGGGTACATCCTCTCTTTCGACCTGCATGCCATCTTCGAAGGATGTCTTGGAGCAGAACACGCTGGTCAAGCCATGACACCGCAGGCTTACTTCCTGCAAGGTTCTCTTGCTCCAAGGGAAACAATGCCAGCTCACCATCTTCTCTTCTGGCAAAGAAGCGTTTCAGATGTCAAAGAGCTACCTGCTGGACAAGGTCCTTGACCTCTTCAACACGAAGCAGGATTCAGACACTTCCGCCTCCGACGGAGAGACAGTTAGCAGTTCTGCTCTCTCCTCCCTGGCTAGAGGACGGGACATGGAACTGGCACTGATAGGTGGTTCCCAGGGCATCCCAATGTCAACCACCACCCCCATCCCGGTTATTGGCGCACTCGTCTATGCTCTGCCAGACATTATTCAGAAGGCAGCGAGTGCAAACGACCTGACTGTGCCGGGAAAATCAGTGTCTTTGCCCCCAAACGTCTTGGCAGGAAGATTCGCCGTTCAGCACTCCGGTCACCAGGATCCAGTCTGGCCTCTGTTTCCGACAGTGTCAACCTACCTCTCAGGATTGGCCATTGACCCGCTGAAGCTGAGAGCACCAGTCTTCACCTAAATGCCCATCACGAAGGTAGAGGGACTCACATATACTGTAAAGGCTTTCCACCTGTTCGTCCCCTGGAACCCAGCCTGTTAACTGTTTTCTGGGTTAGAGTGTCTCGGTGCGTCGGACAATGTCCCATCCCTTCATCCTCTGACGACCAACTGACCACTAGACTTACTGACAGGATTCATCAGTGTTTGTCTCAACCGGCCACAGCGGCCGCAGCTGCCACAGCGACCAACATTGTGGCGATGCTAGCGTCTAGTATATCCAAAAAAACTAAAGAGCCGAACCTCTCCTCAGAAGAGCTGGATGAGCTCTGCACTGTTGCGGACCTCAACATGATTTTATGCGCGGCCCAAGCAGTCTGCATTGCCCGCATCATGATCTGGGTGACGATGATTCAATGTCAAATGTGGCTAAGACTCTCTTCATCTGCCCCAGGAGACATTAAGAAAGAGCTGCTGGAGGGTCTTGTTAGTCCGGATGGACTATTCAACCCCCACTTCCAGTCAGTTCTGGACCTGCTGCAGTCATCATTAGATGCCCTGGAACAAGTCTTAGACCTTGACCTCTCTAAGTGACTTTAAACATCTGTTAAGTTCCTGGCAAAAACCAATGTAGACATGTTCGTGTTTTCAGTTTTCTACACGGCCTTATGATCTAGCTGTTTTTTTTCTTTTCGCTACTTTTCCTTTTGACTGTCCTTTTGGTTGTTTTTGTTTTGATTTGTTAAAAAAAAGAGAAGAAATTTAAATTTGCATGCCTCTTTTATGACTGTTGTTGTTGTTGTTGTTGTCCACTGTTGTCATCACTCTTTGTTAAAATCGAAGGCATCAAAAGAAATGACTTCTTGGGTGGGATGTGTGTGACAATATTGTGAAATGTTTTAAAATAAAACACAAACTTCACTCTAAGAGCAAAATCCTCCAAATGACCCTGTCACTCTATCTTCACACACACCCTCCACACAAAGTGAAATGTAATTTTTAAACAGACGTTTAAAAAACTCCAAAACTTCACCACCTCCAAACAGTCAGAATATGAACCCGCGGCAGGAGCTGGCGCTTTGCGTGCAGGCTTTTCTCCTCATTCTCCTCCTCCTTCAGCTGCCCTCTCCCACCTGATGGTGGAGTATGACATGGAGGTGAGTGCTGAGAACAGGCCCCCTCTGAAGCAGTGCTCGATTTCTCCGCCTGTTCAGAATACACAATCCCCCCACCTAAGTGAGGCTGCAGGGTGGTGTGAAAAATGCCACATTAGAGCTGATAAACAACCTTTCACTTTAAGCCCCCCATGGGTCCACGCAGAGATCTCATCTCTGCGAACGACAATGGCAGGGGTCATATGTTACACACGGCACAAAACATACACGCATATTAGCTCTCAGCGTGCAGCACGGCATGGACATGTACATGAACGAATGGATGGATTGTTTAATCAACAAGGGCTACACGCTGCAGTTTGAAGCAGCACCCCCAAGGTTCAACATAGTGCTAGAAACCCTGTTGCCATCCCCAGAACAGAGTCTGACTTGGGTGGGGTTCACATAACAGGTGGGCGTGGACTAAAGTTTTCAGTGTTGGCGCGCTTGGAGAAACCCACTAGTGACAGCCTTAAAGGGCTATGCCTATACTCATAGAATCTGGGGTTACAATACATAGCCAACGGTCCAAAGACAACAATGTCTATGCTCAATAATCCAGATATAAAATCCAACTTTTTTCAGTCAGGCCATCTGGACAGTTTCTTTTTGTGCTGAAACGTTTTGCCTTCGATCCAGAAGGCTTCATCAGTCAAGGAAACACACAAAACTGATTCTTCCTCTAACAGCTTACTCCAAAGTGGAACAAACCATTTATGTTGGTGCTAAGATGGTTTTTTTGGTACGCCCCTCCTCCATTGCCAGCCCTCTTCCATGTTGACAGTGTTGTTTATACCTGGATTAATGAGCATGGACTTTGTTATTTTCAACCAGTTTGTCAAGACTTCTGGATCGAAGGCAAAACGTTTCAGCACAAAAAGAAACTGTCCAGATGACCTGACTGAAAAATGTTGGGTCCAAAGACAAGTTGTCTGTGGGGATTCTAGTTTTGTTTGTACAGGTTTACTTTCAGTTTTCTGAGGGGCATGAGGGAACTGATTACTCCCAGCTGCTACCACTCTCTTGATGAGAAGACTCCAGTACTTAAGGCCCTGGGAAGCTTCTGGACCCTGCTGGAACATTGTCCCACTTACGGTACCGTGTCCAGCTCAGACTAGATTCAGAGTTCCCTACTGTGACTAAAAACCTGTTTTCTTCTTACCTCCTGTAGCTCCTTGTGAAGTCCAGTCTCCTCGTCATCCTGGTTCTGTCTCGTGCCTCCCCGCACCAGAAATCTTCCCTCGTGAGTTTTCTCCCTCATTCAAGCCTCTGCTCAGGACTACCAATTATCCTTCCAGCATCCAGCTCTAAGGTTC